CGTATTTTCGAGCAAGAAACACTGAACCAGTGATGGCTCCAAATTTTGGAACGAACATAATTGGTAGTGGAAAGTGTTCAAATGTGAGCGGATTATTTGAAGAGCCGTTTATCGGAGTTCCAAAAATTGTCCAGTTCATAACGCAAGGTATCGTATTCTGGGTGAAATTCTCGAATGACGTATAACTTCTGAAATGACGCGTTCCAGTGAACGTTGAAATGTTTTTGAGAGATATGTGCAGAGTTAACATACTGATTGAAACACGGATTAAAAAACCATTCGCTTCTCGTACCGATCGATTTAACACTTCTCAAACAGGCCTCGTCGATTATGTGGATTTCGTGATACCTTTGAACAATCAAGCGGTTGTATCCGTGTGAATCAATGGTTTCGATATTTGCTTTTTCATAGCGATCAAACCACATTCAATAATTTGTTCATTCTTACAGATTGTCAGGCATACTTTAACAACCCCACGCAACAGTCCAAATGCAAACAAATGGCAAACAATATCTACGCAGTTCTGGTAGCATCACCTAACAAAAATATGACGCATAAGATGCATTTGACCGCTGATATCGTAACCGTTTATATATTCAACGATCCAATGCCACCGTTACGCAAAAAATTTGTGCAGAACGCAACGCTAGGAACATGGGGAACACTCGAAGAACTTCTGAATTGCACAAGTGAGGGATTCAGAATGTTTTGCTCATTCAGTCGGCAAATTCGTGCTTTTTTGAACCAGTTTCGTGTGGAAAAGACCACTGGAACAATGATTAAGCAGTAGAAAACCAATTCAAATTAGAAATAACTATTTTAACTGGAATCTTATATGTTCAACATAGCTTTGGATAGATAGCAATCTTGAGGGTATGATCCATTGATCAATTATCCTCCCCGATTATTCAAACTTCTCTCTTCAGAGATGGCAACACCGAGTCAAACACCATCACAGAGCGATTGTTCAGATATTAAAAGCCTGGTGACTCCTCTAGTACAAGGTGCTAATCCACCAATAGTCTACTATCTGAAAGAAGGTGAACTTTTCTTGAAACACCAAATTGCGCTGAATGATCACAAAATTTGAATATTTTCATCGTTTGTATTTCTAGTAATCCATTCATGCCAACCACTCACCCTGAAATCAGCTTCAACAATATTCGTCAGCTTTCTAGGCTGAATATCAACACTTTATGGCTCATCGACTGAAACTATCAATGATTTTAGTAATTTAAAAAAACTTATTTGGCTTCACATTTCCCTCTACTCACTGAGAATTGCTGGTTTCGTCTATTTTCTACGCGTTCTTTCGACCTTTTGCAGATTGCCGCCTACATTTTTCCGATGATTCAAAACAGATTCAACCATGTTTGATGATGGTTGATGGAATTGATGCGATTATTAGCACAACAACATCAGTAAACACAATCCCCTCAGAAGTTCTGAATTGGATGGTCTCCTATCTCTCAAACGGCTCATTCGTGAAGCGCGAATCATTCATAAAAAGTGCAAGACTCGGGAAATGGGGAACGCTCATGCAATTCATCAACTGTGCCAGTATATTTCCAGAAAACTCGTTAATTGCCCCGCTTTTTTTCACAAATTGCATGCCCTCCCCAGACCCGAAATTAACGTGGACTTGTATCAACATTATCTTCGAGGTTCTAAAGTAGAATCCAGAAATGAGCCTTCTTCTTATCGGTGGTATACTTCTTCCGCAAATGATTATTGGAGTCCGGAAAGTGGCCAAGAATAATAAAATTGTTTTTTTATTCTCACTCATAATCAGTCGGAGGGGTATGTTTCATAAATGCAATCAGATAGGTCAAACCTCAATATGGAAACGAATTTTAACGGATCCTTTACAAAAAGCAAATTTGCCTTCAAAAACGGCACTAGTATCTCTTCGTGAACCTTTATGTTACGTCGTGCTATTTACAGCTCATATCAAGTTAAGCACATCTGAAAGTTCGAAATTTCCTGGCATCATTCAAGAGCAAACCTAGTTCTTAGCTGGCTTTCAACATCTGACATTTCTACGCTTCACTTTCAGGCGAACTTTATCTGTTTGGTTTGTCTTGGAATTTTGTGTAAATTTTTGCAGGCGCAACGCCAACGTATCCATCAAACTGTAGTCAAGCCGATCGATTGTTCATTCCTCGAAACAACTCTCCACTTGTTAAATATTTAATCGAAGGTAAAATTACCTGTCGAACGAGCAATCATCCTTATTTTGTCCTCCATGAACTACCTTCAATAAAATATCTCTTCAAGGAGCAGAGGTTTGAAAATGTGAACATGTGTGGAATGGTTGAATGTTATGAAATCGAGTATATGAATCTCTCGACGAATCCAATTCAAAATCAGACATATCCGATGATAGCGAATTACCTTGCGACCTGTCTTTTCTCTCTGTGTGGGCGCAGGTGTACCCATCCCCATGTTACTCTATGTTGAGCAGACCTTTTCCATTTCTGACTAAACATTTTTACGAGTGGTTCATCCCATCTCATTCGTGGTCAGACCAGTCCGTCTTTCCATTGCTCTTTCTGTTATAGCAAAATTTTCTTCTGCAA